CTCTCTAGTACTTCAAAATTTGCTATTCAGATCATTATAGACTATGGAGTAATTACTCCATGATTAGATAGTGGAAACGTGAACGTACGACGTGTCGACGTAGAGCAGCCAGATAAGGTGTGATGACACTTCGTGAAAAAATGGCACAATTTATTATTTAATAAATACTATACTATAACTATACTATACATTGTCTATATAATACCACCATTCGCCGGGTACCGCCAGACCGCCACATTATTCGAACTTCGAAGTACAGTTATAATGATTATATACATTAATAATTGCTATTATGGTGCATGATTTAMAAATTATTGAATATAGATTTGTGAATTGTTCAAATTTCAATATTTCATACGAAATATGCTTATAGCTTATATCATACTATAATATGGCAAGTTAATACAAATAAAAATGTTATTTATACTTTATATGGGGTCGAATTCAATAAATTAAACATATAGACATTTTCCTGTCAAAACAAACTGTATTTCAAATAGAATTCACCGCCTAGGCTACAAATTGTATTGCAAATTTATTAGAATATTGTAGGAATTATAACTGTCCAATTAAACATCTACTATTGACTGGTTAGTTACCCACTTATTGATACTGTACTAATTTTTCAAAAGTTAATTAGCTAAATTTGTTAAYTAAAAATGCCCAATAATTGCTGTTTTGTACTGGGCTGTAAGTATAAGGAAATAAGGAATCTCTTTCGAAATTTAAACGTCGACCTTTTAATTTTTATACTTTATTTAAATATTGATTAGGTAATAATCCAAGGCTAGTAATTAATATTCGTAAATTTTTCATGTAAATTACTAATATTACTAATTACWATAGTCTATATTTTGACAAATTATTAATGAACACTAATATATTATATTTTATATTATTACGAGTATATGTCTAAGSWSTAAGGGCCAGTTGTGCCGTCTACGGTTAAACGGTTAAACTTCGATTACGCTTAATCAGCTGATAACAGATATTTAACCATGCAAATTCGGCCGATTAAACCACAGAATAGGTGAAATTTTTTATTTTTTTAAAATTTCACCTATTCTGTGATTTAACCACGGTTAACTTTAATCAGAGACGGTACAACT